TTCTACTAAGGAATCCCTTTACCTAATGGCATCTCACAAGACTACAGTCAGACTCAAGAGAAGGCCTCTTGATACATCAAGATAGCACCTATATGGTAATCCCCTGTTTACCTAGCACTTTACAGTTTCAAAGCACTTTTACATTTATTTTAATAATCAAAATAACACAATAATGTATCCCTTTTTTAAATGAAGGAACCCGAATTTAAGAGGTAAAGCAGTTAACCAAGGTGACTCAGCTACAAAGTGATAGAGGCCAAGCCTTCTGACTCCCAGTCCAGTATTGTCCTTGGCATTAACTTACCCACAGTGTTATAATGGCTGGAGATAGGGAGTTCTAAAAGTTTTCAGCTTGATCTGGTGACCCCTTGAGGATATTTTATGTATAATCATGTGATTGGTACACCTAGATCAGAATTACATGGCAGCATCCCTAGGGTAGAGAAGCAAACTGTCTATAGTGGTAGATTGTCCAGTCAAAAAAAGCATGTTTTCATCAGTAACAAGATTGCCCAATGTGAAACAGAAAGCAACTTATAGCTCTTCAGTCCTTTTTTATGATCTTCTCAAGAAGATCATAAAAAATGGCCTAATTGGTTAGGAATCTTGTTCATATCATGTCTTTTTGTTGTATAATACTAATAGACGCAGGGAACTTATTTATAGTCCTCTGTCCCCAAACTAATATTTACAATATGAGCAATTTTTTTTCCCTCTGTATATGGTAGATGAGTATCTCGTAGAACTTCTAATTCTGTAAGATGTATCCCTTCCTACAATGCAGTGTAAAATATTAAAGGAGCTCAAAAAACTTGGCAGCAAAGAGCTCCATTTAACTCTTTTGCCCATTTTGAGTTTAATCAAACAGGATTTTGTTTTATTTTGGGTTTTTTGGCAGCATTCCTTTTAATGGAATGAAAAATTGCTGTAGAGCAGTATAACCAGGGCTTCCTGATTACCAACAAATTGGCCTAGAGACCCATAATAAACATAGTATCTTTTGAAAACCTTATTCTCATACCTTGTCTTTTTATTTTTCCCAACATTGAGCTTCTTAACACTCAAAATAAATACCCAGTCCTTTTTATTTTTCACTTTGACACAGTCTCACTAAGTTGCCAAGGCTGACCTCAAATTTGCTCTTATCCTTCCTTAGCCTCCCAAGTCACTGGCATTACAGGTGTGTACCATAGCACCTGGCTCTCATTAACTGAATTAGTATGTCTATCATCTGAGGATCCCATATGTTGATCATTACCTTTGTTTTTTGTTAAGGAATCCTTTAGAATATTTGTGGGACTATAAGGTTGGGGAATGGGAGAAAGTTAATTCTGCCTCCCAAAACTGAGTTTCATGACATTTAGTATACTTCTCCCTAAAAACTTTGTTGCATCTCAGGTGAGTGAGGAGGTTGGGAAACGGACAGGAGGAAGAGACAAGAAAAGGAGAAGTGATAAGAGAAAATATTTTCTTAGAATTTGAGTTGTGGCTCATAGAGGTGTTAGCAGTGCTTAAAGAAAAGTCATCGAGCCACCAGCTTCTTGAAGTTACATTTACAAACAGATGGATGCATTTTGCATGTAGATGCAAAAGCCCCACTGCTATTGTAACTAAGAATCAATAGTCTTGTTCTCTGGTAGTCATAAGCCCGCTTTAGGTATCAATTTGTAGGAGACTTGATCTTTAATTTCATCAGCCTATAAGGGGTCCATATGAGGGAAAGAATGAATAGAAAAAATCTTGTCTTACCATAGACTTTGCTTACCTAGTTTCTGGTTTCTGTGACCTATTTTTTGTATTTCAGCATTTTGTGAACAGCTTATTCTTAGATCATTGGTTTTCCAAAGACTTGTGGCCATGAAGTCCTTTGAATGAAAATATGGAAGCCCAGAGTAAAAGTGAAGCTGCTCTAAATGAAGTAGTGAAGCAGAAGTGGGAGTCTGCAACCTGCCATAACCATCATCCTTTACCACCATGGTGACATCAAAAGAGACTTCCTTGCAACATGTAGAATTCTTCAGAGCAAAGTTTGAAAACTACTGCCCCAGATGACGTGTTTGAGCTGAGTGGCATTCTAATCTTTTGTGTACCTTCTCTCAATATGGTCCATATTCAGTTGATGCTGAACATTCTTACGAATATTTACTGCAGACTTAGGAATATGCAAGAAATGACAAAGTGCAAGAAATGCCTTTGCCCCCCCAGAATGGTCATGTGGGCTGAAAATAGTGTCAAATGAACCTTCATTAATAGCCCTCCATCCCAGATGGACTTAAAATCACTCCTGGAATTGGATAGACCCAGAGAGCAACTAATATGCACCCTACACTGACAAATCCCACTTACCAACCTTCTTAAACACCAGATGTACTACTGGTACTGAAGTACATGAATGATATCTTAGACCTTCCTTGGATACATGAAAAACCTACAGGTTGATACTGAAACTGATTCCTCATTGAGACCATCTTAAACCAACTTGTGCATTTGACCTCTCATCATTAACCATGGTACTATACTTCGTATGCAAGGGATAACTAACTATGAAAGCAGAATCCAAATATTGGCAGCATTTCCCAAAGGGGCTCAGTACCTGGTTATCATTCATCTTTTCAAACTACAAATCACTATATGACTCAACCAGTGGTAGTTTACACTGCTCCTTGGTTTATATTCAGTTAACCGGTATTTCCAGGACAAGTGAGCCTTTAAAAAAGTTGGCTTTTTTGTTTAATTTTAATTTTCTCCATCACTTGGCATATCTGCTTGTTCTACAAAATTAATATGAATACTAGTCTCTAACTACATGTAACAGCTGATCTTCAAGACAATCTTTGGACATCCCTTCTCATGTGATTTTAAATGAAGCCATTTGGAAAATTTTTCTTATAGCCAGTGAGAAATGTTCTTGTAATATGAATCTTTTGTGCCTGGTACCATCAACTATATATGCTAGTGATAGTTAAACATAGGCCCTTTGATCAGACCATGGTAGCCAACTCGCTGGGCTACATTTTTGTCAGACTGATATGGAAAAAAAAAATACAAATACAGCAGCAAAGGATTTTAATGCTTAAAACTTTTGTCCTCATGGATCTTAAATCACATCTGTCTCAATACTGCTGTTTCATACCAATTAAAAGTGGTTGGCTTTATTCCTTTCTGTGAGATACTGTTAGTCATTAGGACAATTTATTTCTGTAAGAAGGATTCAGTTCTTGAATTCCCAAATCATATCAAATGAAGAGACTTCGATTTGTGTCCTGAGAAAAATCTCATCCTTTACTGCACAATTTAAGGGCTGGCCATCCTCAGCCACTTTAACAAATGTACAGATTCACTGCTGGAAATGCTTTCTTCATGTCCTTGTTTCCTAGCCTCTAGATTAATCGTGATTATGTGATTCATTCTACAAATCATCAAACAAGACTTAGTCCTGTTGCTGTAGATTGCTTACCCTCAGCACATTAAATCTGGATGAATATTCTGCTTATATATACAGCTTTTATATCTTCAAGATCACTTTTTCTGCTGTCTTCAGATTGTCAAATTGTCAGATTTTTCCCCCCTGTGCTTTTCCTGTACCTTTCGGAAAAAGACATTTATCTACACTGCCAGTTATTCCCTCTGATCCTATCATACTCAATCAAAATGAAGGGTTTAATATGAGAGTGATCATCTGCTCAAGAGTCAAATGTATCCTGTGCTTAAGAATTGGTAATTAAGAAGGCAAAAAGCCCAAAACTTAAACCCAGGAGTTTGCCTACTATCTCCACACCTCAAATCTTATCCAAATCTTTCAAGAGTGCCATCCAACCAGTCTGAGGCCTTGACTTGCTTGTAAGGCGACTCTCAGAGATGAGCTCAGTTACAGAAGATGAAGACTTGATTACCAAAGAAAGTAGGGCCAACTTTGACAAACCTGGCTCTACTGACCCTGCTGCTCCCAGATATAGTGTAAACTGATAAACAGACCCTCAGGTCTGGATTGGATATGGCCTTTGAGCTGGCTGTTCTTGGGCAAATGAACAGGAAAATGAGAGCTGCTATACCTGACTAGCCCTTTAAGATCAGAAAATGGTATTCCGAGTTAACCCTGTAGAATAATTCTGAAGTACCCAGGGCAAAAACTAATTTATAGAACATTTATTAATCCACCACATTATATCCTGTCTTTTGGTATGGCTGGTCCTGTTGAAGTTGCCCTGCTTGTCAATTTACCTGTCTCAACTCTTACCTGCCTTTTTTAACATGTTTCTGCAATTAGACTGAGAAGACAATAGCCAATTTCAGCATATCTTGTGCCCAATTCCATCAAGGATTTCTGAATGGAAGCAGCCCCATACTTCACCCCAAAAGGACTTAATGTTCACAACAGGAAAGGATCATGCTGCACACTCCTAGTGGTGAGTAAGCTACACTTGACCATTTTTGGCACCTGGGACCTCTTCTGCCAGATTCGGAAGGGAAAAGTGCAGCAGATGGAAAGCAAATCCATTTCTCTCTTCTGCAGCAACAGAAATGAGTCTGGTTCACCAGTACTCATAGGAATGTACCAGTTCAACTTGGCAAAAGACTTAAAGGAACACTAGAGAAGTTTTCCACTGAACTTAATAATTTATCACTGACTCATATAGCGTTGCAAAACTACTTGCCAATAAGAACCTTCATGTCACAAAGATATTGGGACTCTCAGACTCAGCTGAGTTTGCTTGTATTGAATCTCTGGTATCATCCAAAGTACCCTATTGGACATAAATTACTATTCCATTCAAATGGATTATAGACTTCCTGAGGACAGGAAAACCATCCCTCATGGTTATTTTTAAAACAATTTTATTACCAGTGAAGAAACAATGCCAGCATTCAGATTCATAAGCAGAGATCAAGTTTTTTCAATATCTGGTCGTATCCTGAACATCATTTGTTTTTGATTGCCCAGCATCCATTCCATCTCATTGTAGCAATTTCATGATATTTCTTGGAACCCTATCTTCCTATTTGCAGTCCATGTGGTTTGGATAGTGTGAGCCTTGGGCTTCAGGGGTATACATGTAATTCAGACCTCATCAATCAACAAAATCCATGTCCTTGATCATAGCTATTGGTTCATGAATGGTTGTTTGGCTCAAGTTGGTCTATTGTTAACCCTAGGAGTTTTACTGAATTGTGAAGAAGTTTTCTTTATGGAGGTGCTTTAGCTTTGTAGAATGAAAAACTCAAACCAATAAGGCCTATCACGACATTGCATGAGCCACTCTTGAGAATGAAGCCAGTGCAAAGGAAAACAGCCAGAGATGGAGAGACTTGAGTCCTGATGACAGCATTTGTGCCCCTGGATCCAACTGTGCCTGAAGCTAGTATATCCCCTGGACTTTGCAGTTATGTGAACCAATAAATACCCTTTTTGCTTATGTTACTTTGAGTTGGGTTTCTATTACTTGAAAATGAGTCCAGACTAATACAGTACTTATACAAACATTGAAACTTGAAAAGTCCAAGGCTTTATTAAACTAAGGTTTATAGTCTCACATTTTCTGAAGTTAAAGAAATGAGACAAGGACTGAGAGAATATTTAAGTTACTACAGAAGGATAAAAATTACATGGTAGAAAATAGAACACCTAAATGTCCATCAGTAAAGGATTGGTTACATAAAATACAGTTAAACATAAGAAAATCTGTTAAAATGATCAAGGCACATTTGTTGGGAATGGACATAGAAAAATGGTCATGATATATTAAGTGAAACAAGTTATTGATAGAAAAATATATAGTGTGAACTCATTTGTATATGCTTATATTTGTAAATGCATAGAAGTCTATTAATGGCTTTCTTTGAACAGTATAGATTACACGAGAGTTAACTTTACACATTTCTGTATTTGAATATTTTACACTGCCACATTACTTTTTAAACTTTATTTAAAAAATAAAGAATTTTTTAAAATTTAGTGCTTACTGTTTGACCTTGGCAAGTTACTTAACACTGAGCCTGTTTTTTCAAATGATTAAAAATGCCCACCTTTATATAAGTGAACATTAAGATACATATTTTTATGTATTGCTATACTTCTCATTGAGTAACTTAGAGCTTAGTAATTATTACTTTTTAATTTGTTGTATTTAATTGTCACTTTTTTTTAGTAGATCTCAATGTTTCCAAAGCAGCTAAGAGTAGAGTGGTATATAAATCTGATTATGTCACTTCTCTGTTTAAAACCTTTGAATGGTTCCCCCATATCAGAACTTTATAGTGTTCTTCAAAGATTATTCCAGTTCTCAAGTGATGTTAACCTTATTAAGACCCCCTACTGCAGTATCTGTATTAGGCAGAGAGAGGGAAGTAAGCCACCATTTTTTTAAAACCTGAGATACTCATATATCACTGCACTCAAGGTCAGTAATGACCTTTTGACTGCTAAATCCATTACGTACTCATCTTACCTGAACTTGCAGCAGTACAAACAACTCCCACCAGCATCTCAAAATGCGCTGTGACATTTTCCATTTTCTTCCCAATTTCCTGGTAACTGCTTCATTGTAATTTCTTTCCTTTTCTCCAACACATTAATATTGGTGTAATGGACATACCATTGCTTTGGCCTGCTCAAAATCACTTTATTTCAATGATAAAACCCCACTCTCCCATTTTAATATGAGTATAGCAAATTACCCTCTAAGATTTGAGCAGACCAAACTTGTACTTCTACCAGGACTTTGGATCTTCAAAAGAAGAGATGCAAAATGATAGGAATTGAGTAGTTCTGATGGTAGTGTCTCAGAGAATACATTGATGTAAGATACCCAAAGAGCCCTGATTCCTGTTCTCAAGTCTTAATTATCCAGATCTGCCTGATTGTAGACTTTTATTTATGTATGAGCTCTTTTTGACAGACAATGTTTTTGATCATTTATAACCAAATAAATAATTACAAAAATTGTTAATAGAGTAAAATGACAGGCTTCAGACCCTCCTGAATATATGGAGGATCTCAAATTGATTATTGCACTAAGCAATAAATCTTTCTCTGTTCCCAGGGCCTTGAGTAGGAAAGTCCATAGTGGCAAAACAACTAGTAAAAGAATTCCTTCTTGTCATTTGGATTCATACGCCTAATGAGGGCAGAATTTGGAAACCCAGGTAGCTGTTGACAATAGGACAATTTTAAGTGAATAAAGAAAGCCAAAACCATAGGACATGAATGGTTACTTAGATTTCATTGGATAATTAAAGTGAAGAGACTAGAATAACCCCAAACCCAGAAACTTTTTAGGAAAAGAATAAAATCCAGGGTCTTTCTCTGTCCAGGATGAATAAATGCCTTCGTGCTTAAGTCCAAACTAGCACTTAAAAGATCATTTCCCCAAATTGCTAAAGTACAATGCTAGTTGAGTTTGTAAGATATTAAGATTTCTTGTGACAGTCAGAAAAGAGTGGTGATCTGAATCTGAGAAGACTCAAATTCCAAACCTCCAGATATCTCAGAAATGAAAGTTTGGTTCATCCAGTTTATCAAATATCTTTGGAGGGAAAAAATTTTATATATATGTATGTATGTATGTACACACACGAGATAAATACCAGATACAGTTCTGTGTCTCTATAACTACATCACACCCAACAAACACTATTGATAGAAAAGTGTATAGTGTGAATTCATTTTAAAATGCATGGGGTTTTTTGGGGGGAGGACTTTTTTGTTTGATGTTTGAAGGGTTTTTCCCCCCTCAAAATCTGCTCTTCATGTATTCCCTTTGTTGGTAAATTATACCACCTTCCACCTGTTTCTAAACCAGATTGCAACGGTTACTCTTGATGCTTCCCTTTCTTTCACCCTGGACCTCACTATTAGTCATTACATTCTCTTGATATTCTCTTCTTCTATCACTCTTGTTCAAAGGAGTATTATCTGTTGCTGGGGCTATATGCCTTTTTAGTGGTCTCATTGCCTTTAGTGTCCTGGTACAATCTGTTCTTTCCAAAGCAGCTAAGAGTAGAGTGATACATAAATCTGATTATGTCACTTCTCTGTTTAAAACCTTTGAATGGTTCCCCCATGGCTTCAGAATAGAATCTAAACTTTATTCTTATTTCCAAGGCTTTTTTTTTTAAAGTTTGGCTGTGACTCCCAAACTCAAGGGTTCTGACTCTGATTTGAGATACTTCTGAAACTTCATCTTTTCCTGCTTCAAACAGGGACAGCTCAGTTTTGTGTATTGGAATTTACTGTAATATTTCATTTGAAAAAGAAAGGTTCCAGTTTGGTTTTTTTCTTTTTTAAAAAAAGGTCAGAGAGAAGGTTCCATTAAAAGAAAAAAATTGAAAACTCTTATAATTCAAAACAGTCCAATAAGCTATTGCACGCGCGGGCGCACTCTCGCTGGCTTGCGCTTTTTTTTTTTTTTTTTTTTTTTTTTTTGGTGCTTGGAATTGAACCCAGGGCCTTGTGCGTGCAAAGCAAGCACCGTACCATTTGAGCTTTATCCCCAGTCCTTCTTCCATATCTCTTACCATGAAGTTTTATAAGTTAAATTTGATGTATGTAATTATAGAGATGCCTAAAGAGCACCCAAATCCCAACTTGTAAAATTCCTAAAATAAAAATAAATAGCAGGGGCTGGGGATGTGGCTCAAGCGGTAGCGGGCTCGCCTGGAATGCGTGCGGCCTGGGTTCGATCCTCAGCACCACATACCAACAAAAGATGTTGTGTCTGCCGAGAACTAAATAAATAAATAAATATTTAAAATTCTTTCTCTCTCTCTCTCTCTCTCTCTCTCTCTCTCTCTCTCTCTCTCTCTCTCTCTCTATCTTTTAAAAAATAAAATAAATAAATAATAGTAGGACTACAAATTTATATGTTAAGATGAAATATTGGAATATTTAGGAGGCTATATTCTTATGAGAGATCATTGTAAAACAATCTAGAAACCATAAAAGTAATTGCAGATGTATTTGTCTATACAAAACAAAACTGTAAAAGATACATGATGGATTGGAGGAATATTTCCAATAGAAGTGACAGATTCAGAATTAATACCCTTAATGCACAGAGAATTCCTATAAGTTGATAACTACAATAATGCAGTCATTTTCACATAACAGCAGGGATAACATTCTGAAAAATGTGTTGATAGGCAGTTTTGTCATGAATATCAGAATGTACTTAGACAACTAAGAAAAGACCTAAGATGCCACTAGACTGTATTTTACGGGACCACTCTGGTATATGCTATTCGTTGTTGATTGAAGCATTGGTGAGCTCTACATGCCTGTAATCATTAACTGTATTTAATACTTGCTCTGCTAGGTGTTGTTTCAGACACTTTTTAAGCATTACCTCTTTTAATCCTCACAATTTACTCTAGAGGATAAGTAATACTTTCTCTGTTTCACAGCTAAATAAACAGGCTCAGATGGATAAAGTAACTTGCCTGTGTCACACAATAGATGATAGGACTGTGAGTCCCAAACTCAAAAGTGTTCTGTCTGTGCTTTGAATCATGTTCTTCTGCATTTCTATAAGCATATGAAAGAGGATCAAAGTGGTCCATGAGATGTAAATCAAAACAAGGTACCATTTGTGATATCAATCGAATTGCAAAATTTATCAGCACTGACGTACGTACAGTGCTGGCAAAATTAGTATATATGAAAACTTTTGTACATTGTTGATGGGAATGTGTATTGTTCCAATCTTTTTAAAAGGTTATTTGACTATCAATTAGAATTTGAAAATATACACTTTTTAACCCAGCACTCCTACTTTGAAGACTACCACAGAACTAAAAGTTCCAAGATACAAGGATATCATACAAGAAGTTTACTGCAACGTGGCCTGTGGTGCAGAAAACTGAAAAATGTTTGAAAGTCTATCAAAGGGGAATGGCCCAATCAGTTATAGAACAACTATGTATACTCTGGAGTGGTTAAAGTGAATGAAGTCACATCTCCAGCTGTTAATCTGTGGTATACCAATTTATGATGTATTTCTTAAGCAAAAAGAAAATTAGAAAATGTGTATCATGATAACATGTATTTTATGAAAACAAAAGCCTACAAATGCGCCTAGGTGAATAAAAGAAAAACGGAAGAGCATCAGGTTAAAATTGAAGGATTTGGAGAAACTCAGTACTTAATATATATTGTAGTTGGAAGCACATTTTTTTTCCTTTCAAGAAAAAGTTTACTGAGTTATAAAAAATAATTTAAATATAATTTAAAAGCAATGAGTTGATAATAACTTTTTCAAATTAGAATATGCTAATAGAAGAACAATAATCAAAAAAAGGGGGACCACAAAGAGTAATGAAGTCTTTTATATTCAGAGTTACCATTTGAAGATTCTTGGATTCCAGGTGACTAGTCTTCAACCTTTGGATAGGATGCTCCCTACATCGGAGGAAGAGCTGATCATTAGTGTGCCATATTCTTGCATTGTCTCCCTGTATCTCTTGTTTCTCAAGTTGAATACATTTCCCAGCATCTTTGCCACTGAGATATAACCCACTGTATTGGGATATTCCAAAGACAGAATCAGTAGGAGATATACATATATATATATATCTGATAGGAGATAGATATAGATAAAATATAGGTATATGAGATTTATTAGGGGAATTGGCCCATGTGATTATATAGGAGAAAAAATCCATATGCAAGAGAAAGACCTGGGGTTGGGGTTGTGGCTCAGCAGTATAGCGCTCACCTAGCACGGACGAGGTCCTGAGTTTGATCCTCAGCACCACACAAAAATAAATAAAAGTATTGTGTCCAACTACAACTAAAAGAAATAAATATATTTTTTTTAAAGACCTGGAATACCAGTCACATGGCTGGTATTCCACATACACTTAAAAAAAAACAATGTTTTACCAGTTTTCTAGGTATTTCGTAATCCAGTGAATTGATACTTAAAATCAACCATCATACCCACTGATTAAATTTTAGCCTAAGGGGTGGGGTTGTAACTCAGTGGTAGAGCACTTGCCTACTATATTTGAGGCATTAGGTTTGATCCTCAGCACCTTATAAAAATAAATAAAAGTATTGTGTCCAACTACAACTAAAAAATATAATTTAGCCGGAGATATGAATAATTCTGGAACTTATGCTTAATAAAGTGTGTACCTATCACCTACTTCTTACTCTACCCTTTTGGCTAAAATGTGGACTTGATGGCTGGAAGTTGAGTGTGTCACTATTGGACCACTGAGGAAAAGGACTATATATGAATGATGACAGAGCAATACATCAAAAAGAGCCAAGGTTCCTGATGAACCAGGAGGCACCATGCCAGGCCTGAACTCTTCTGGATTTCATTTACAAGATAAATAAACTTCAACCCTCTTCACATTATTGGTATTGAGGTTTCTCTCCCTCACTGCAGATAATTTAATACTAATATTTCTTAGGAACATCTGATTCCATTTGTTTTGATTTTTAGTCTATTGAATCAGTCTGCCCTTGGCTGGACTCTCTGATAACAGGGCTGTGCCCTAGGTAGATGACTGCTTGAGTCATGAACCAAGTATATATCTCATAAATTAATAAGTTAGCCCCATGCTTTATTAGATGGCACTCTATACTCCCAGAGTTCCATTGTTAAGGCCATCTGTTGCTTTTATCTGTCCAGCATCTACTTCTGCTTTTGATAAAGGCATATCAGTTACCTTCTTAAGTTTCCCATCCTCTTACACTGTATGTTCAACAACCTGGCTCCAGAGGTGAGCATATAATTCAGACTGACCAACTAAAGCAATGTAGTCCCTTGACCAGGGTAATTGGTAAATGAGTGAGTATACAATCTAAGCCAAGACAATTTTATACAAATAGATTTAATCTTGTGGGTAGAGGAGGCTGTTTTCTTCTGTTTTTAATCTACTGAATATAAAGTTATAAGCCTGGCACTGTGAAGTTATAAGCCTGGCATTGCTGGCTACAATCTTGCTAACCCAAGGAGAAAGATCATGTGGGAATGGAACCTATTCAGGGAGCTAAGAGTTTTCTAAGGATATTTTTGCCCTCTAGTTTCAGCCATATCTAAAGCTAAACTAACCCTAGACATTTAGATCCAATTGTTGTATATTCCATTTGAGTTTTCATGTAATGGAAAGTCTTACCTCAACCATCTTTGTTTCAGTTTATCAGCATCTGACACATAATAGGTATTGGATCAAAACCTTAGAACCTGTTGATTCCAATAGACTGAACCAAGCAAATTTCTGCATTAGCAAAGCTGAGGACCTGGCAATCCACTTAACCTCTCTGAACCTTGTTGTCTTTTTAATCATGACATACACAAACTATCACATTTAATCTCTTTTATAAGAAAAATCAATTCCTTACCCTACCACTCTCAGGAATGCTGGTGACAGGAAAACATATCACAGTCCATTTCTCTTGTGGGCTGAGGCCCTTGGATGCCACTCATGCCAGTTGACCTGTTAACAAAACAAGTAAGATGGGCTGGGGTTGTGGCTCAGTGGTAGAGCGCTCACCTGGCATGTGTGATACCCTAGGTTCAATCCTCAGCACATATAAAGATTAAATAAAGGTATTGTGTCCATCTACAACTAAAAATTATTTTATAAAGTAAAATGCCTGGATTAAGGAGGTCCAATTCTCATTGATAGAAATATGTCCTTCTTAATCTGTATCAGAGCAGGCATCCTGTACTGGGAATGTGTGCATACTCTAGATGGATGAATCTCTTACTGCATCAAATCAAGGGCCAGACCCTCAACTGTTCCCTGTTATTTAAAAAGAAAGAAAGAGGTTTAGTTCAGTCACAGAACCCTGATCCTTTATACCAACGAAAATATAAGATGTTTTCCTGTTCAGTTATAATTCTGAACTATTAGAATATTCCAGAAGGCCTTACAGCTTTATCCCAGACTACCATCCGGAAGTAGCAGGCCTCTGAGTCTTAGGGAAAGTAGCTAGTCATTAGGTCATGGAAATGGGCTAAAGCCAGATGAATAATCACATCAAGTAGCAGACATTGGGGAATCCTGGGCTCAGCCATGCCATTCCTCTGAAACAAGAGAAATGGAACAGAAACATCAGAGTCACATTTGCCTATGTTTTGGTCATCTTTTTCATTTCTGTGACTAAAAGATCTGACCAGATCAACTGTAGAGGAGAAAACGTTTATTTAGGGGCTCATGGTTTCATAGATCTCAATCCATAGACAGCAGGCTTCATTCCTCCTGGCTCCAGGTGAGGCAGGACATCTTGGCAGAAGAGTGTGGCAGAGGGAACCAGTTCATGACAATCCAGCAGCAGAGTAAAAGAGGTCTTCACTTCCCAGTTGCAAATGTATACCCCAAACCATACTCACAATACCCACCTCTTCCAGCCACACCCTACCACTTCAGTTACCACTCAGTTAATCCCTTTGAGGGGATTAATTCACTGATTGGGTTAAGACTGTCACAACCCAATATTTCCTCTCTGAGCCTTGCATTGTCTCACATGTGAGCTTTTGAGGGACACCTCAAAACCAAACCATGACAGCCTAATTTAATGCTTGGCCTCTGTGCAATTTCTGATTTCTCAAGTTCAAAAGATGCCTGAGACTATTCAGAGATAGGAAAAAGACAGTTTGGCTAGAGAAAAGATTCAAGTTGAGGGGATGTTTTAAGTGGTACAGGACTCAGAAAACATACTTAGAGGAGGACTCCCATGGAAATGAGGGAATTAGAGGACCATCAGGCCTACACTTGACTCCAATCACAAATATTCACTGATATGCTCAGAAGACAAGGACAATAGTCTTCAAAACAATATTCAATTTGCATTTGTCCTCAGAACCCACATCTTGAGTGCACTATGAATTAGCATTTTAAAATACATCTGGTTATCTTGTGACCAGCACAATTACAGTGCAATGTATTCTGTGTGTATTTTACAGTACTCATTTTCCAATGTGATCATTTAAGTTAAACCACAATTTTGGAAAGTGTACGACAAAGCAAGCATAAAATCAGAGTCCAGAGCAGCACAGAAACATGCTGCACACACACACACACACACACTGCCACCACCACTGATCTGAAACAGCCCAGGAAGTCACCCCAGAGCCAGAAGAGAGTCTTGAAAGGCAGCATGCAGTAGAAGAGGAACAGATCTCCTTGCAGGTCTTACAGAGAAACTGGCTACAGTCAGTCTTGGCCATTCTTTCTTGTCCAAAACAAGCTTTCCAACCAATTTGGGATGTTCCATTATGTCTCAGTATGGGAAAACTTACAGTGATTAAAAATGAATATGAAGGGGCTGGAGTTGTAGTTCAGTGGCAAAGCACTTGCCTAGCATGTGTGAGGCACACTGGGTTCAATTCTTAGCACCACATAAAAATAAATAAAGTAAAAGCATTGTGTTCATATGCAACTAAATATATATAAACACATATACACATATCCGTATATTTAGTTGTATGTGTGTCACACACACACACACACACACACACACACACACACACACAAACCTAGACTTGAGGTTTCTTAAGAAAACCTCAAGTCTAGAATAGCAGGCATCCTTGGCTTCAGCAAAAAGCAAATTGATACCAAGTTGTTCTTAGCTCCTCACCAAATGGATTGCCGTTTCCTCATGCCTGGAGCACCCAAAAATGGAATAAGGACTCAGGCCATGTTTATGACTGCCTGGATACCTCCTCCAGTTCCATCTTTAAAGGCAAAGAGCTCTGTTCCAAAGCATTTTATCCCAACAGCCTCTCAGAGTCTGATCTCACCTAGGTGAACCTACATGAACTGGGTATCTTTTTTTGTTTGTTTGTTTTGATATTTTAAGTTGTAGGTGGACACAATACCTTTACTTATTTATTTTTGTGTGATGCTGAGGATCAAACCCAATGCCTCACACATGCTAGGCAAGTGCTCTACTGCTGAGCTACAACCCCAGCCAATAAACTGGGTATTCTTGCTTCACCTTCTCTGCTTCCCTTTAAAACCTTACCTGCCTACCAAGGACAGGTAGAACCTGCTTGTTATCCTCCTTCCTTACCCCTCTCATCTCTTCATTTTTCTCCCACTTATAAAGCTTGAGTCAGGCTTCCATGTGATTCCTACATGGGCCTTATAGGAAATTGCTACCTTTTACATATCAGAAGGGATCTTCACACACTCCCCCTGGCCCTGACTCCATCCTTTTTCTCTAATCCTTTAGTATCCACCTTCTTTTTCCCATGGCTGGTAAAATTTATGAGAAGGAAAACCACTCAATATTTATTAAGAGTCATACAAGATAAAAGGCTATACAAAATTTAGAAATTTGCTAAGATTGCTAAGATCAAGATGTTGTATAAAGAAAATTTACATGATTTGTGGGGACCAGTGAAAAATGAAAATCTAGTGTCCATTGTTTAAAAATTATTAAGAATTTCAAGGCCAGGTGTGGTAGCCTATAATCCCAGTGGCTTGGGACACTCAGGCAAAAAGATCATGAGTTCAAAGCCAGCCTCAACAATTCAGCAAGACCCTATCTCTAAATAAAATATAAACAGGAGCTGGGGATGTGACTCAGTGGTTAAGCGCCCTTCCTTGGGTTTAATCTCCACTATTCCAAAAAAAATAATAATAATTTCAAGATGGTGACAACAAAACATTAAATCAAATGTGAGGCCCTTGTGGGCATGAGTCCCTGAGTAACTTATACAGGTTACATGCCCAGGAATGAGGCCTGGTTTTATATATTGCTCAAATACCCTTTACTTAATAATCTAAAACATGCCCATGATACCAGTCTCAGTTTGGCCAGCATTTAGCATCATAATTACAATATGTGATGATAACATTCTTTTCTTGAAACTGAGAAACAGAGCTAGGTTCTCTGCCATTATTACCTCAGTTAATACTCAGAGCATTCCATTGGAGGAAAACCTGGGTCCTTTGGCTTATAAATGGTCTATTCTGGCTCTTTTTTTTTAATGATATTTTTTTAGTTGTAGTTGGACACAATACCTTTATTTTATTTATTTATTTTTATGTAGTTCTGAGGATCGAACCCAGGGCCTCCCATGTGCTAGGCGAGTGTTCTACCACTGAGCCACAACCCCAGTCCTACTCTGGCTCTTAACCCAAGCTTCATCCTCTAAACTATGTACCTCTTTCAGCTTGTGTACAACAGAGCCATGAAATCAGAAAATGATTTTTTAGCTGCTCAGACTAGAAGAATTTGATAATAAAACAATGACTTCCATTTATCTCATCCTTAGTATGTGCCAGGTACTGTGCTCTGCAATTTCTAAGCATTGTCTCATTTTACATATTTAGTGTGTATTTTACTCCGTAGCCCTAGGACAAGAAGTTTCCTTTACCTTTATCTCTATAGGTCATTACCCTCAGTTAACTTGCTTTCACAAAGACCAATCCTCCAACCCCCCAGCTATGACACTTTATGATGCCAGAAAACTGAAGCACTTCCTATGGGGATGACCACATGGAGGCTGCTCCACTAGCTATTGGACACCATGACCAGAACTGCTTTTACTTCTGTTGCCCAGGGATGCTGATCCTGACCTCAGTCCCACAACTGGCCTCAGATCTACACCTGGACACTCACTTTCTTCAGCCATAAGGGAAAGCAAGATCCAGAATTCTAAAAAAAAAAAAAAAAAATCCAAAATTCTTACATATTTGAATATCCTCCAAACCTTGTTCCCTTCTTATTTGAAACTTTCCCATGTCCCTGAAACAAATACTAAGGACATGGAGATGGAATATGAGACAAACATCGGCCTCCTTTTGCTGGGGCTGAGCTGGGGACAGAAGCTACTAAGAGCAAATGTTGTATTTCCTTTCTTTCTTCTTCTCATTCTCCTTCTCTCCCTTCCCCTTCCCCTTTTCCTTTTGTGTGTATGTGTGTGTGTGTGTGTGTGTGTGTGTGTTGTTGTTGTTGTTGTACACACTAGGGATTGAACTCAGGGGCACTGAGCTACATTCTCAACCAATCCCCAGCCCTTTTTACTTTTTATTTTGAGACAGAGTCTTGCTAAATTGCTGAGGCTGGCCTCAAATTTGTAATCCTCCTGCCTCAGCGTCCCATGTGGCTGGGATTACAGGTACATGCTACTGCACCCAGTTGTTACATTTTCTTTTAATAACTTGCCTTATTACAATAGAAAAAGAAACTGGTTGGAAGGTGGAGCCCCTGATTGAAGGTCCTGTATCAATGAAGTAACAGTATTAGTATTCAAAGCTGACTGATCTAATCCCATATTTTTCAAACATAGTCCACCTGCCACCATCATTGGAATCAATTTAGTTGAGCTTATTTAAAATTTTCCAGATCTCACACTGGCCTACAGAAAATCTCTGGAGAATCTGATTTTTGAAATATTCCATGTTGCCTAGAAACTTCTGGAATTTGTATCTGGAATTCCAGACACCTCATAATATTAGGTGTGACAGATAGGCTCTGAGGTGTTTCCACCTTCCCTTCTCCAATAATTTGTTCCTCCTAGTATTCATATCTATTTTATTTTATTATTTTATTTTTTAAAGATAGAGTGAGAGAGAGGGGGAGAGAGAGAGAGAGAACTTTCAACATTTATTTTTTTTAGTTTTTGGCAGACACAACATCTTTGTTTGTATGTGGTGCTGAGGATTGAACCCAGGCAGCACGTATGCCAGGCAAGCGCACTACCACTTGAGCCACATCCCCAGCCCCTTCATACCTATTTTAATTCAGCTCAGGTACTATAATAGAATACCACAGACTGAATGGCTTAAACAACAAGAAACTAATTTCTCACAGTTCTTGATCTTGGACGTTTGAGGTCAGGGTGACCAGTCACTTTGGTTTCTGGGTGAGGGTTTTCTTCCTGAAGGTCTTCTCAACGTATCTTCACATGAGCTTTCCTCAGTACATGTACATGAGAAAACGAGAATTCTCTGTTATATATCCTTACAAGGATGCTATCCTATTTGATCAGGGCCCCACCCTTGTGACCTCACTTAAACTTAATTACTTCCTTAGAGGCTACATCTTCAAATACAGTCATACAAGGGATTAGAGCTTCAATATGACTGTTGGAATGACCAAAACATTCAGCCCATCACATGAATAATACCTTTGTAATTCTTGTAATCTTTGTAATCTCACTTCAAGGTAAGTGAGACTTGTAATTTGTTTCAGCCACTTGTGTCTTGTAAAGGCAATGGTACTTCACGCTATGAGTATAACTCAATAAGACAAGATGTCATTGTGTTAGCACACTTGTTATAGAGGTTTTCCCTGATGGTTTTGGCAGAAAGTGGCCTTTTTGGAAAGCCCATGTGGAAAAGAAACTGGGTGGCCTCCAGGAGCTGAGAGTAGCTTTCAACCAAAGAACAGCAGTAAGTTGGGGCCCTCTCTCCTATAGCTACAGGGAACTGAATTCTGACAACAACTAGAGTGAACATGGAAGTGGAGTCTTCCTCATTTTTCTTTCCATTTTCTGATGCTACAATAAAATGCCTGAAACTGGGTAATTTTAAGAAAATTGATTTCTTATAGTCTCAGAAACTGGAGAGTCAAAAGTAAGGTGCTAGCATCTGCTTGACATCTGGTAAAGCCTTCTTTCTGCATCATAACATGGCAGAAGGTATCATATGACAAGGTACAGCAAATCTGCTATCTCAGATTTCTCTTCCTCATATAAAACAACTAATGCTATCATGGGGGTCATTACCTCATCTAATCCTAATTATCTTCCAAAGGCCCTACCCTCAAATACCATTAGCATATAGCTTTGGGGATTAAATTTATAATATATAAACTTTGGGGGGACACATTCAAACCACAGTATTATTCATACCGCCAGATAAAGACAGCCTGGCCCAACAGCTTGAGTTTCTTTTTTTTTTAAGTTGTTGATGGATCTTTATTTTATTTATTTATATGTGGTGTTGAGACTTGAACCAAGTGCCTCACACATGCTAGGCAAGTGCTCTACCATTGAGCCACAACCCCAGCCCCTTGAGTTTCTTAACAGAGGATTTGGCTACAGCATGCCTGTTCTCTCAACCCACAGAAATTTTGCTGTTTAAAGCCACTTAAATTTGTGATGATTTGTTATACAGCAGTAAACAACTAATAAGTTAAATAACTCCCACAATCTCTACCTACAAGGCTGCATGGATGATTCCTCTCTTTTTTACTTCTATTTAGAAGCAATTTATGTGCTTAGCAAAAAATGACAAAGGATGTGTGCCAAACAGCCTGCTTTTAAAAATGTTTTTTAATTTCTTGATTATGAAAAGTAATAGATGTTTATTGAAGAATGCTTGGAAGCATGCCAAAAATAAAATAAAAATTACCCAGAATAATTTCTTCCTGCCCCCTCAGATAACCACAGATAACACATTGGCAAACAGCCTTCCCCAACTTGGTTCCAGAGAGAGGCTGGATAAAATTTCAAACAGGGAACGCTCTGTGCTGTTTTGTAACTTTCTCTTTCCATAGTGTCCGCCCACATTTTCTAAAGAATTTGAAACATTACAGGGGTGCATTTGTCCCTGGCATATTGGGGCATTGCCAGAGCCCACTCTGATTACCTCAGGTTTTTCCTAATTGTGCTTTGGCTAAGGAGACTCAAGGAAGAATCTGAGCCAGAGAGGGGAGGACATGCCCAAGGCCAGATAACCTATTGGTATTCAGAGATTTCTCCCCCTCCAAATTCCTCAGAACATTGTAGTTCAGCTGCTGTATTACCAAAGCCCACACAATGCCTTAAAGATGTTAACCTTGAAAGTATTAATCAGAGTTCATTCTTATAAAGTCACAGTCTCACCTTCAATCAAGGAAGGTATTTGCAGGAACTTGGAATCAGGTGAAGGTAGCAGCCCTCTGCCTGAGCCCTGGCCAGCCCATCCATGAGGCACTATCCTCCCCAGGCCTCTAGAGCAGTGGGAGCTCAATTCCTAGAGCATCATTCCAGAATTCTAGGGTTTAGCCTTCTTTTTAATAAGAATGGAAGGACAGTAATATAAAAGATGGAAGAAAGGAAGTGAGAAGTATTAACTCATTAAATTTTCATCAAGCCTCTAGAAGGCCAAGCAATATGCTACATACTGAAGCTACAAAAAGAAAAAAAAAGTAGGACAATGTTCTCACCCTAAACAATGCTTTATTTGTGACATAATGCATAGGTGGCACAATGCACAAGTGTTACTCTTGCAATGAAGGGATAATGTCAACAAAGACTTTCAAAAGAATGCTCTAGTTAAAACATTTTTAAACTGCATTGTTCCATTTGTTTATTGCTGCACAATAAAACATCCCAAAACAAAAACTATTTTATGTGTTATATTAGTCAGCTTTCTGTTACTACAGCAAATATCTGTGATAAATCAACAAAAAATGAGAAGTTTATTTTGGCTCACAGTTTTGTATGTTTCAGTCCATGACTAATTGGCCCCATTGCTGACTGGCCCCTGTGGTGGCACAGTACATCATGGCAAGAGCATGTGGTTGGTGGCAGAGGCCATTTATTCATGGCTGCAAATCAAAAGAGAAGGGACTGAAGTCCTAGTATGCTGCAGTCTTGGCTGGGCACAAGATCACGAGCCACTCACAGCTTGTAGATTCAAACAGCAATTCTTTATTCCCGAACTCACACCGGCCTCTACAAACACGTTCTGGGGAAATCCCGTTCTGCCCGCCAATTCACGTCCCAAAATACTTTCTGAATTCCACGAGAACTCAACGGGAACTCAGGCAGCAGGAACGCCCTATGCCCAGCAGCAATAACCTTAAACCTGGAACTTCCCTAAACCCAGATTGTCTTAAACCGGAACGCCTCAAACCCAAATTATCTTAAACCAGGATACTTCCTAAAACCTGCAGGATACACCTTAAACCTGGATCCACCCTGGTCCTTGAGCAGGGTCACCTTTCTCAAAGACACATGCAATGTCATAACAAATTTCCATTTAACATGGGGTACGCTGGCAAGGAAATTTTGATGCGTCATTCCTACTTGGCAATGGCCCTCAGCACTAGTATCCCCAGTGGCCTAAGACATCCCACTAGGCTCCACATCTTAAAGGTTTCCATCACCTCCCAGTAGTACCAAGCAAGGGGCCTTTGGGGAATATTCAAGATCCAAACTATAGCATATACATATGATTCTGGTTAGGAATTAGGGCACAGTATGGACAGCTCATCACTGTGCTTAGCCATCTGAGTATCAACTGGAATGCCTAGGATGGCTGAAGATGGCTGAGACAGTTCAACTGAGGCCATATGTCTAGACCCTCAGGTCTTCTCCAGTGTCTGCTGGGATGAGAATGTCCAAGATGGCTCCTTCACTTCGATGGCATCTGCACTGGGAACAGTTGGATAGCTAGATGCAAGTTGAGCATGTTTTTTCACCTGGCCAATGTGGGCTTCCTCTTATCATGGGAGTCCAAGGAAAAACCAACTTCTACATTGCAGCATTCCAAAAAAGAAGGGAAAATGCTAGTTCTCTTAAAGGCATAGTCCCATAAAGAAGTCAAGGTACCTTTGTATGATTTTTTTCTTAAAGCTATCACCATGTGCTTTATTCTATGCATTAAAAGTGGATCATTAAGTCTAGCCCACACTTTATTAAGCTCCATCTCTTGAAGGGAGTAATATCAAAGAATTTTTGGACAGATGTTTTTCAAAAGCACAACCCCAACAATACAATCCATTTCACATGGAACGTTAGGTGACTTCTCTTTATCCTTCTAGTCCTCTACTTTCTCAGAACCATATGAGTTCCATTCTCTGAAATGAATGAGCAATGATAGCTAATTTCCTCTCTCTCCTATAGTGTTGTCACCCAAACACTCCTGCTCTCCAGCCTTTAAGGGTTTATCTCAGTATTTTCTTCTTAGGTTGTTCCCCCCTTAGATAAACTCTGGTGCCAGCTATTAAAATAATTAAATTTTTACTTGTTACATAAACTTTTATATAAAGAAATTTATTTTGAACAGAAATTCCATATCCAGTCATACTGTCAAATGTGAGAACAAAAGAAGACATTTGAGGATAAGCTAGGGCTCTAATTTTCTCTATCGTGCACCCTCTCTGGAAAAAAAAAATATTACTTGAGGATGTACTTAAACAAATTGATAAAGGAATCCTAGAAAAACATCTGGGAAACCAGAGACAGACCTTGGTGCTAAAGCATGAGAGGACTGGAAAAAATCCTAATTTGACAACTATGTTGCAGACCCAAAATACAATTTATCAAAACTGGATTTGGAAATTAGAGGTGTCTGGGACAAATACTTCAAGAAGAAAATATAGATGCACAAATTGAGTAAAGTTGAAATCTGGAAGTTCTTAAAGATGAAACAAGGATAAAATTTCCACTAACAAGAAATGAGAGTACAGTTAAAAACTCTGGGTGGGCAAAATCTATTCTAGAAAGTCATGGTCAAACTAAAATGCACAGGATTTGGGACAACTGTTAGTAAGGAACAAAGACCAACAAATAGCAATCTAAACTGTTGAGGGCCACAGCTGAGTTGGGATGATGCATGGCATTATGCCAGAAGGGAGTGGTTGAGAGGTGACGCCAGCGAGCCATTGAGATGATGATGGTTATGTTAAACTGTGTATTCAGTTGTATATTAGACCTTTACTATCCGGTAATAGGGCAGCTCTTGCTGCCTGGGCACCGGCTACTTTGGAGTTTCTGTTGAATTCTCACAGGTTCCGAGAGTGAATGCACTTGCAGCCCGCAGCCCGGTGGAGTGGGAGAGAGTTCCCTGGGAATGTGCGTGGAGTGCTGGTGGAGTTCAGGCAATAAAGTTTCCTGTTTGAACATACAAGTGCTTTGTGGCGGCTCGCTTATTTCTGCCCAGCCAGACTGCGGCATAAAGCAAAGGTAAGTTTGTTGCCTCCTTGGCAAAAAGAGCTGTGTCACTTAAACACAAGTTTCACAGATGTCTCTGAGCAAAAATTAAAAGAGATACGAAAAAAAGCATAAGTACCAAATAAGGAAAGAGGCTGACTTATAATCTTAAATATATGATTTTGATTGAATCATAAAGCAGACAATTAAGTCATCTTCAGGTTCTGTGTCACTGATACTAGGAACAAAAACAGATTATAAAATATTTCACCAGGCCTCAGGTCATTTAGTAGAGGTGTAAGGGTCCGGCGAACGTCGGAGGAAGAGACCACCAAGAGACCGACTCATGCAACAGCAAAAGGGGGTTTATTGAGGATCCAATCCAGCGCACTGGGACTCCAGGCTCACTCAAGAAGGGAGAGTGGCCAAGAGCCCCGAGCAAGGGTTAAGCAGTGCTTAAGTACACTTTTTGGGGAGGGCAGGGGCTTTGCATACATCAGAGCAAATCATCATGAGGCGCGGGAAAATTGAACAACAACTCTCAAACATGATTAGTACATTCATTGGTGGGAACAGTTCGGGCGGGAGTGATAGGTCAGTCCTAAGGAGGGGGATACATTCAAACTGATTGGTTTGGGCCCTGAATGCCTACGTGCCAAGCTGCACTGGGTCCATGTTATTAAACAACTAAGTGGGCAGTACCGGGCATTGTCTTAACTGCCTCAGGAATTTCAGGTTCTGTGTGCAGTTCAGAAACTTTACAATACCTAGTCCTTTACATTTTAACTTCAGTTTCTTTTATCCTTTCAGAGGTGCTTAAGAGTGCACATTCAAATTAGCAAAGTTTTGTTGTTGTTATTTAAGCAAGTATGAAATATCCAATCCCTATTGGACAAAAAAAGGAGAGATGAATAAGATTAATATTTTGAATTCATGATTAATTTGTTGGATTTATAATAGGTACAGGAGATCTTTTTTTCTCCTACAAGTAATTTGTCACTTTTATTGGACATTTTTATTAAGTATCATCCTTTTTTTATTATTATTTTCTCCTGGACAGAGTATACTCAGGTTTTGAATTTGGTTCCTTGTTAACAAATTTTTAAATATGTGTGTATTTGCATGTGTGTGTACCATCAATTTGACAATCATAGGTGTCTTCTGATTTTTATTTGGCAGGTTATAAAGTTTTAGTGCATGAAAATTTGAAGATATGCCTATGAATTTTAAAAAAAGTTGACCAAAAACATTGTTCCAATTCTCTTACTATTTCACAATCTTTTTTTAAATGTAGAAGAATGTGGGGACAGGGTAGATGACTAGTTTTACTCTTGTTTTTTCTTCTTTTTTTTTCCAAAATATTTATTTTAGCTTTAGATGGACACAAAACCTTTATTTTACTTATTTATTTTTATGTGGTGCTGAGGATCAAACCCAGAGCCTTATACACACTAGACAAGCACTCTACCACTAAGCTACCACCCCAGCCCCATTATTCTTTTTCTTCTATCAAATTTAATTTTATATTGGAAAACTTAAATGAGAATTCATAGTGATGAAATTAAAGGTGATTTTTAATTTTTCTTCTATAGTTATGATTTCTATAATTGTCTTTAAATATTTAACCATGAATGTGCATTATTTTTAAAACATAAAAAGTTTTTTTCATAAAATAAAGCCAAGTATATATGTAAAAGATGTTCGTGACAATGTTCATAACAAAAAATGGTAAATGATTGCAATGTCCATCTGTAAGAGAATTAAATATTTCAATTATGATACCCCCATAAAGAATTTTGTAATTATTAAAGATGATATAGCAGACTTATGGAAAGAAACTTTAAAAATATATTCAAGTTTTTATAGAAAGAAACAGAGCTCAGGGGCTGGGGTTGTGGCTCAGTGGTAGAGTGCTTGCCTCACATGTGTGAGGCACTGGGTTTGATTCTCAGTGCCACATATAAATAAATGAATAAAATAAAGGTCCATCAACACTAAAAAATATTTTAAAAAAAGAAACAGAGCTCAATTTAAATTTCCTAAACTCAAAGGGATAGGTATCCAAGAAAAATAGAGAGACACAGACATCAACAAAGAGATAGAAATTTATGTGTATGTGTAGATATATATAGTTCAACTTGACCTGTAAATTCAAATTAATACTAGCTGAATTACTGAGGAAAGTACATACATGTAATAAAGGTATATACTACAGATACTAAACTTTACAAAATGTATTTTTAAAGTAAGCTTGACAATAATAAAGAATTCATTATGAGTTATGAGCTGTCTTTAGAACTCATAAACTTATAAAACATTACTTACTCTTTATATGTAAGTTAGAAATTCTAGGAGAATGGAAACCATCAAACAGATGCTGGGAGACAATTACTTTTAATGCTTTCCTATATACAATTCTATATTGTTTGCATTTTTAAATTTATTACATAATTTGTAGTTTTAAAAGATTATAAAAACTCATATTTTATGTGACTATATCATCTTTCCATATAAATACATATCTATATAACTATTTTAATTACTTCTATTATAGTTGGACATTTATATAATTTAATTTTTATAATTACAAACATTCTTGAACATAAACCCTTTTTTATTGTCCCATTTGATTCTTACTGGAATTCTTTCTAAGAAGAGAAAAAGGGGATATGTATTGTTTAACAATGTCTTTGTAAGGATAAAGCAAAATATTATTTGAAATGAGTTTCCCTTATATAATTTTTCTCCTTGTCATTGACCTCAGACTTAGGACTGAAGAATCCTTGATGTCACACAAACATCTAGGCTTCATTTCAGTTGCTGCCATCTTGTCTGACCCTGACATCAAGAAACTCATAGTCTAAAGGAGAAGATAGACATAGATAACTGCAAAGCAATGTAATTCATGTCATAATAGAAACTCAGTGTCAGGAGTAATTCAGGAGACTTCTCAAATTTTAACCGCACACAAATCACCTGGAGATCTTTTAAAATACAGATCCTGATTTAGTAGGACTGGTATGGAACTTGATTCTGCATTTATACCAGTTTCCAGGTGACATTCTATAAATAAATAGAAGTAAGCAAAGCTTTATAGATGCCTAAGCAGAGTTTCAAAAGATGAGTATGAGTTTCCCATGTAGTTAGTGAAAGGAAACATACCTTAGCAAAAGGAACAGCTTATGCAATGATGTAGAGGCATGAAATACCTTAATTTTTCTCCCACCAGGTTCTAAGGATGGGAGAAAGATTTCCTCTGAGGAACACCAATGGCAGTGGAACCGGAGAGGTGGAGATCTTAGGGTGAATCCACAGATTTGATAACTGATGAGGTATGGGGAGGGAGTATGGAGAAGGGTATGAGAGATGAGGGACACATACCCCAAACAGAGGAGTTAATAGAGAACTAACTGTAGGTCTGAGAAAGGAGATAAGCAGTTCAGTTTGCTTACCTCACCAAGTCCAAGGCAGAGGAAGAATGAGCTGTGGGACATAAGATGAGATATGAATGGTATGCTCTAAGGAAGGCCAGAACAGGAACAGTTTTCAGTGTGTTTACTCTGCAAATGGAGGAGGAGTCTCCAAGCCAGAGGGATAATCTCTCTGTGAGCCTCAGAATGACCATTACCAAACTGCAAGCCTGTGAAGGATGTTTTTCAAACACAGGCTGGTAGTGTAAATCAACAGGGCATAAAACCAGACTCCAAGGCCCCCCAAAATTCACAGCATCTCACAACAAAACCCCCATGCAAATGTTCATAGCAGCTTTATTTATAATTGTCAAAACCTGGAAGCAACCAAAATGACTCTGAATAGATGAATGAATAAACATACTGTGGTATATCCATACAATAGAATATTATTCAACAACATTAAAATTAGCTGTCAAGCCATGAGAAGGTGTAAAAGAAACTTAAATGCTTATTACTAAGCAAAAGAAGTGAGTATGAAAAGGTTACATATATTGCGTAATCCCATCTATATGTCAGTCTGAAAAACAAAACAATAGAGAATAAAATAATAAATGTCAGAGATTCGGAGTGAGGAATGAATAGTGATGCATAGAGGATTTTTAGAGCAATAAAATGATTTATATGATACCACAATGGTGGATAAGCTTTATTATTGCATTTTCAAAACCTATAGAACTCTACAACACAAAGAATTAATCTTAATATATATATATATATATATATTTAAAAATCATCTAGGAGATTAAAGGAACCTAGGAAGGGGTACAGATGTGTTTAGAGAGTTGATTATATGAATGTTTGAATGTATACAACAATTCCACTGAAAGGCATTAGAGAGAGCAACAAAGGGCTGAACTAAAAAAAAATTTTAGAATGGATGGCCTCTGTAGACTAAAAGTAAAAGGGAACTGCACATAAGCATTGTACACTAGTTGTTGTTTCCTGAGGATTCAGGTAACAAAGTTGATACTGCTAACATGCATAATGAAATGGAACAATTAAATAAATGGATGTCAAATAGTGTAAGCCAGCTTTCCCACTATTGGAGTAAAAGCTTACAGTTATCAAAATGAGGTTAGACTGAACCATGTGGTAATGGAATAAAGTTGGATACACCAATATGAACTATGTTTATCCTAACAGAGGCATATAGTAACATGTAGAAATATTTAAAGATACATATATATACATGGGTTGGTAAATGCTTTTTTTGTTATTTTGGTGTGGTTTGGTTTCTGTCAGCTGAAAGGGCCTTAAAGATACACTACACAAGTAGCTGTGAGAAATCCAAATGATAAGATCTTGATTTTTAATGCCACTCTCCAGTGAAAATAATCAGAGCTCTTTGGAAAAATGGCTGATTCTAGGGACTGGGATAGGAAATACACAAGATGAGACTGGAGCATCTTGTAGTACAAGAAAATAAGGAAGTGCTTAAAAAATGTTGAAGATAATGTCACAAGAGCCAACTGAAAGAATTCCCAATGATCAGAGCAAAAATACTTTGAGGGGAAAAATTAAAAGTTAATATTAGATTATAATTAAAAATATAAAATAAAATCCACTAGGCACAATGATACAAATAAATGACTATATATTAATGAATGAGGGAAAAGAGAAAAATTTCCCATGAGGAATAAAGTGAGATAATAGTACCTCCCCCCAAAAATTCAGAACCTCAGAATGTGACTTTATTCGGAAATAGCCTTTGTGGATGCCATTGGTTAAAGGGTCTTAAGATATACTGGACTTAGAGTAGGCACTTAATCTAATGATTGATGTCAATATAAGGAAAGAAAAGGACACAGAAGAAAATAGAAGAACGTGACTGAAGAAGGAGATAGAGGTTAGAATTATGCTGCCACAAGCCAAGAGACACTAGGGCCACTGGAGGCAGGACGAGGCAAGAAAGAACTAGACAGAGGGAACACAGCCCTGCTGACACCTTGACTTGTCTCCAAAACTCAGAGATAAAAAAATTTCCATTTAGGGCTGGGGTTGTGGCTCAGTGGCAGAGCACTTGCCTAGCATGTGTGATGCATTGGGTTTTGATTCTCAGCCCCACATATAAATAAATGAATAAAATAAAGGTTCATCAACATCTAAAAATTATATTTAAAAAAATTCCCATTTAAATTACTTGCCAATTTGCCATGATAGCTTTAGGAAAGTAACACACAAAAGAAGTCCAAAAACTTTTTGTAGATACTCTGCTCTCAAAAAGGGGCAGCATCATTTCCCTCTCATTGGGCATAGACTGTGCATAGGAGCTTCCTTTCTAAGTGTAATTTTAATATCTTACATTATTAGTGATTATTATTAGGAAAAAAAGAGTAATTTTACAATTGAGAAAACTGATAAACCCCAGGTGATCGAAGCCAATACCAACAGTGAAAAATCATGTTGAGCCAGGCAAGGTGGTGCATGCCTATAACCTCAGCTATTTGGGAGGCAAATGCAGGATTGCAAGTTGGAGGCCAACAGAGACAACTCAGTGAAACCCTGTATCAAAATAAAATTTTTAAAAAGGCTGAGGGTGGCAGAGCACTTGCCTATCATATGTGAAGCCCTAGGTTTGATCACTAATACTGAAAAAAAAAATCATACTGATAGTAAGTATGCTTGATACAACGTGATAAAAATGGAGATCTAGTGCTCTTCCTCACAATAACCCAGTCTTATCATAAGAAAAACGTCCAAGAGTGGAGCATCCTACAAAATACTAAATCAGAACTTCTCAAAACTGCCAACGTCAACACAAACAAGGAAAGTATGAGGAACTCTCACCATCCAAGAGGAACCTAAGCAAAAATGATAACTAAATGTAATGTGATATCCTGGAGGAAAACTGGAACAGAAAAAGAGGGCACAGTGAACTAATAAAATCTCAAGAAATTAAGGACTTTGGTTAATAACAAGGTGTCAATATTGGTTCATTGATTGTAATCATGGATCACTAATAATGTAAGATATTAAATATAGGAAAATGAACTGTACAACATATAGAAACTCTCAATATAGCTTCTTGATTTCCCTATAAATCTAAAAACTCTTCTAAAAATAAGTGTTTCCGGAAAAAAAAATTTAAATAGCACAAAGATGCAGAAAGTGAAGATGGTTCCTTTCTGTCCTAATCCCTAGAGATAACCATTAGCAAATTTGGTACATATTCAAACAAAGAAAATGATCAGCAATATCTCCCAATAATGTATCCTCAGTGGATACTACCCCTTCTTGAAAGAAGAATTGTCATTTCTGGCATCAATAGCAAATACCAGGTACATCCCAGTAGTTCTTGCCTGGCTACATGGGCAGGATAATCCTGTCAATTGCTGGTATCCCATGTTCTGATTTTAAGTTGGTACCCAAGAATCACTGCTGACCACAGCTGATTGACCCACAGTGGACAATATATTCCAGCTGAGCCCATCAGATTCTTCCCTGAATCTTTTTTTTTTTATTAACTCCAATTCCAAACTTAAATTGGGAGAAAAACAAAAACCTCAATAGACATTTGCTCTCACATGCTGAGCAGACAGGAAGAAATAATCAAGAGAACAGGAATCATCGCTTGACTTTTTTTTTTTAACTTGTCCCTTTTATTTTTTAACCTTTATTTTTTTAATATTTATTTTTTTGTTTTAGGTGGACACAGTATCTTTATTTATTTTTATGTGGTGCTGAGGATCAAACCCAGTGCCTCACGCATGCCAAGCCAGCAAGCTACCACTTGAACCACATCCCCAGCCCCTTAACCTGTATTTTTACTTATGTGGTATTAAGGATCGAACCCAGGGCTCTTACACATGCAAGAGGAGTGCTCTACCACTGAGCCCCAGCCCCAGCCCCTGCTGTCTTGATTCAAGAGAACAAAACTATTTCTAAAGAGTCAGGAGAACAAAGTTCCTGTACCAGAACATAGTAGAGAAAAGAAAATCTTGTTGTTAGCAACTATGAAATCTCCAGAAGGGCTCAGCAACATAGGTTTTCAAAGATCACATGTATAGTTATACATGGCAAAGGTTCCTTCACAAGAGTTCTAGAAAGTTTGTGTTGGTTGAATTTTTATAGTTAGAAAGTTTGAGGGCTGGGGCTGTGGCTCAGCGGTAGGGAGCTCGTCTTACACATGTGAGGCCTGGGTTCGATCCTCAGTATCACATAAAAATAAATAAGTGAGATAAAGATATTGTGTCCGACTACAACTAAAAAATAAATATTAAAAAAAGAAAAAAAAACTTTGAATGTGCTAGAATATTAAAGAAATGTACTCCTGAGTCTAGCAATAGTATTTCAAAAATAACAATAGTGATAGCTTACATCCACTAGTTCCCAGTGGCATGTACAGGAAATAGGCTAAGTATATGACATACACTGTCTCATTTAGTCACCCCATAAATTAAACCTGAAAATTACCCATCACCACCCCCAACCTTTTATTTGTTGTTATTGTTCTGAGTATTAAACCCAGGGGCATTCTTCCACTAACCTACATCTCCAGACCTTTTTATTTATTTATTTATTCTTATTTTAAGACAATCTTGCTAAGTTACTCAGACTGGCCTCAAACTGTGATCTTTCAGACCAGCCTTTTGATATGTGCCACCATGCCCAGCATCATCTCTTTTTTACATACCAATAAAAATATACTCAAATTGAAAGAACGAACAAGGCTCCTCACTGGAGAAAATACCCTATATTGAGGAACAGCTCTGCATATTTATAGAGCGTGGGTGGTTTGACAGTTATGACAGTTTAATAGTTGACCGGTTTGACAGTTGGCATGGGGTGCTTTCTGATTGGTAGGTAAGGATCATGTGAGCCAGCAGAGCTAGTCTGATTGGTGGGTAAGGATCATGTGAGCCAGCAGGCCTAGTCTGATTGGTGGGTAAAGATCACGTGAGCCAGCAGGGCTCACCATTGGTCGGCTCTTCTGGGGGGGGGGATAGGGAAGTTAGTCTTTGGAGCCCACCGACTCCCAATATAAATAGTTCCCAATATAAATAGTTCGTTTGTCCCACTGTTTATAGTATTTAACTTGAGAAATATGACTTGAATCCAGAGCTATTTGATTCTAGGGCTCACTCTTTTTACCAATGCAGACATGTTGAAACAGCTCATTGGTTATGGTGGAATAGAAAGATATGAACTCCTTGCTTCATTTTCTTTATGTGTAAAAAATTTCCTGATGAATATTTACCTTGTGATGATTAAGTGAAATGCAGCCTATAAAATACCTTCAAAGAGCTTGACATGTAATAAGCACTTAAAAAAACCATTTTCCCAGTGTTAATGAAGGGTCACATCCAATCAGAGAAGTCTTAGTTGACCCAAACAGGCTATGTTTATACTGGGGTGGGGAGCGTTCTTTTATTATCTTACTTAGTATGTCTTATTTTGTGAGAGATTCAAGAATTAATACACACATGTGTATGTGCAAACACAAATGTGTATGTTGCCCTGTTCTTGTTATGAAAAGCCACACAAATTTTTTAAGATTTTGAATTAGTTACAAACATTTCCAATTCAGGAAATACAGATTCTCAAGTTTATTTTAAGAAACTGGAAACTCTGGCATCATGGGTGCAATATTCCATAGTGCCACAATCACCAGAGCTGAGATACCTACTTTCAACAGACTGTGTGCCCTCTATGGGCATGAGCCATAGTCTCTGCCACTCCCTACTACTCCCCAACTAGGAAGCCAATGATTGGATGGCAGTATTGTTGTTTTTAAACTTTTTATTTTGAAAAATTCAAATATGAACAAAGTAGGAATAATAGTAAGCCGAACCTTGTGTTTGTTTCTTAAGGTTGTTGTAACACAGCTTTCATGGTTCTGGAGGTGAAAAGTTCAAAATCAAGATGTCATCAGGACCATGCTCCCTCTGAAGGGTCTTGGGAAGTATTCTTCTTTGCTTCTTGCTTATTTCTGATGGTTCCAGCAGTTGATATTCCTCGGTTTATAGCAGCACAATCCCAATCTTTACCTCCCATCTTCACATGCTGCCTTCTTCCTGTGTGTTTCCAAGTCTCCCTTTCTTTATAAAGACACCCATCATTTTTAGGGCCACTCTGATCTCACATGACTTTATCTTAACATGATTATATTTGCAAAGATCCTATTTCCAAATAAAGTCATATTCACAGGTACTGGAGTTTAGGACTTGAACAGATTTGTTTGGGATTAAAATTCAACCCATTATAAACTCTCATTTTCCATTACTCAACTTCAATAGTAACTTATTTCTATGGTTTTAAATGTTTATTATCTCTGAAATTCATGTTGAAATTTAGTTATCATTGTAACAGTAATAAGAGATGAGACCTTTAGTAGGTGATTAGGCCCAGAGGTCTGTCCCAGAATGGATTAATGGCATTATCACAGGAGTGGATTCTTTATCCCAGAGGTAGATTCAAGGAAGGAAGGAAGGAAAGGAGGGAGGGAGAGAGGGAGGGAGGAAGGAGAAACTAACTAACTTTGGCTGGTTAGCTCACTCTCTTCTTTCTCCACTTCTCTATCTTTGCCTTTCTGCCTTTTTTTTTAACTGGGGATTGAACCTAGGGGCAATTTACAACTGTTTTATTTTGAGACAGGGTCTCACTAAGTTGCCAAGGCTGGCCTTAAATTTGTAATCCTCCTGCCTCAGCCTCCAGAGTCAAAGGGATTACAGGTGTGTGCCACTGGGTCTGGATTCTTCTGCCATGTTTTGAAGAAACAAGAAAACTCTCACAAGTTGGAGGCACCTTGATATTGGATTTCCCAGCCTCCAGAACAGTGAGAAACAAATTTCAGTTAATTTTTACCCAGTCTCAGGTATTCTGTTATAGCAACACAAAATGGACTTAGACATCTATATACAATCATAATCATGTCCTCCATCCCCTTTGTGGTACAGATGGGTTAAGCCCCTTTATCCAATATTTGAGTTGTCTTTTTATTATTGAATTATATAAGTTATTTGTATATTCTAGTACAAGTCCCTTATCAGATAAATAATTTGAGAATATTTTCTCCTCCCATTCTATGGGTTATCATTTCTTGACAATATTTTTTGAATCCTTTAAATTGATCAGGTGCAATTTTATCTATTATTTCTTTCATCCTTTGTGCTTTGGGTATCTTATTTAAGGATCCATTGCCAATTGAGGCCCAAACTATTGTTTTTCCATTGAATGTCCTTGGCACCCTTGTTGAAAATAAGTTGGTTTTATTTCCAGACTCTCAATTCTCTACCATTAAGCTGTATGTTTTTCTTTATACCATGACCACACTCTCTGGGTCATTGTTGCTTTGAAGTAAGTTTTAACATCAGGAAATGTGAATCTTCCAACTTCTTCAAGATAATTCTGAGTCCTTTGCAATTAATTACACATGAAATTTTAAATCAGTTTGTTGTTTTTTTTAAAAGAAGCCAGCCCATAAATCTGATAAAGACTGTGTTGAATCTGTAGATGAATTTGTAGAGGACTTTTATTTAGCAGTATTAAGTCTTCCATTCCATGGATATTAGGGGTTCCCCCTCCATAGATTCAGGTTTTTCATATCTTCTAACAATGTTTTGTAGTTTTCAAAATATGCTTTATACATTTTTGTTAGATTTATTTCTAAGTATTTCATTCTTTTTGATGAATGTTAGATTTAGCTCTAATTGGAGAGTTGAGGTCATTTGCATTCAACTTCATCATAGGGAGATGTTTATTAATTACCATTATTGTGGCTTATTTCTAATGTTTAATTTGGTTCTGTTTCTCATTTTTCAAATGAAATTTATCCACTTGTGAGTTCTGGTTTTTGTTTTATTTTGTTTTTATTCCTCCTGTGTGAAGTATTTAAGATTTTTCTTATGCCAGTTTAGCATCATGGATTATTTTAGTTTCTACTTATCTTGGAAGGTTTTTATTTCTTCTCCAATTCTAAAGGTTAACTTGATGGATATAGCAATCTTGGCTGACAGTTACTTTCTTTCAAGTCCTCCTGGATTTTAGATTTTGTGCTGAGAAATCAGAAGTAATTCTGATTGGCTTGCCTCTAAATGTGACCTGACGTTTTTTCTTATTGAGGCTTTTAAAATTCTATCATTATACTGTATGTTAAGCATTTTAATGATAATGTGTTGTGGAGAAGTTCTTTCTTGATCTTGTCTATTTGGGGTTCTGTATCTCAATGCCCATCTCATTTTCAATGTGTGGAAATTTTTCTGTTTTTATTTTCCTGAAGAGGTTATCCATGCCATTAGCCTTTATCTCACAACCCTCTCCAATTCCTATGATTCTTAAATTTGATCTCTTAATGTCTCAGAGTTCTTGTATATTCTTGTCATGTTTACTTATTTTCTTGTCTTTAATATTTTAATGTTCAAGGCCAGCCACTTTATCATCCAACTCTGAAATTCTGTCTTCAGTATGGTATATACTCTAGATAGACTTTCACCTGAACATTTTGATTTATTGTGTCTTTCATTTCCAAGATTTCTGTTTGGTTCTTTTTTTTTAAAGAGAGAGAGAGAGAGAGAGAGAGAGAGAGAGAGAGAGAGAGAGAGAGAGAATTTTAATATTTATTTTTTAGTTTTCAGTGGACACAACATCTTTGTTTGTATGTGGTGCTGAGGATCAAATCTGAGCCCCACGCATGCCAAGCGAGCGCACTACCGCTTGAGCCACATCCCCAGCCCTGTTTGGTTCTTTTTCAATTTCTCTATTTACTCATTGAATTTCTCATTCATATTATGTACTGGCCTTCTTTTTTTTAAAAAAAAAAATATATATATATATATATAAACAGTTTATTTACTCTAAACAACAACACAGACAAACGCCATATAAACACAAAGGAAGAGGTGTGGGTCCAGACACTGCAGACTTTGGATGGGAGGCACATTAGCAACAGCCAGATTCTGAGAGAAGGGTGTGGGATGGAGGGACAGGGACTTACACACAGCCCGCTGGAGGCCAGGACAGCTCTGAACGGTGATTCATGCCTGCATCTGAGCAAAGGAACTAGCTCCTAGGGCTTACCCAAGTATAAAAGTTTATAATTTTACAGCAGTTGAAATACTGACATCAATATTAAAATAAAAGCAAGTTTTACATAACAATCAAAAATACAAAAGACTGAAGGAAGAGACCCTGTATGAAAAACTGGGGCAATTCAGCGAATTGAGAACTGTATGCCAGTGGCGGAAATGGAAGATGACGCCCGCCCAACCCTTCCAGGCGACTGGTAACTGCACGAGCGACTTGAGATTTGCAAAAGGTGTAAACAAGTTCTTGCCAAACCAACCCCTTCCTTTTGCGGTGCCACAGGGTCGCCGTCTATGAGGGTGCAAACTTCTTGGCTCGAACCCTTTTCTCATGTCCCACTCTGTTTTGGCAGTAAATCGTGTAGGCCTCTGCTTAAGCGGGGTCTTGGATATTTGGTTCATTTAGAAATTCCTGTATTCCTAATAAGATCTGCTTGATCGTGATGGCTGGCCTCCAGTTCTTGTCCTACTCCAGGATGGACAGACACACGGTACCCGAAGGGTACACATTTGGGTGAAACAACGGCGGCTCTGATTTACATTTCGGTGGTGAGGATGGATAATCATCTTTGAAGAGCATCGGCAGCTTGAACAAGCCTCCTTCCCACGGAGTCCCCTTCTTTCCTGGGATGGCACATTCCCAGTTCATCAGGCTCATCGTGCCATCTGGGTTCTTATGGTCCTTCCTCCAAGTTTTTCTCTCCTGGGCGAGTCTGCTGAGGGCGGATCCCCGACGTGTTCAAAGTCCCTTGGATGGGCACGGCCCGGCCCGGCGGCCCGGCGGCAGAGGCGGTGGCGTTCCCTTTGTCTGGGGACTTCCCTCCGCTTGTACTGGCCTTCATAATTCATTCACTTGACTTCCTATGTTCTCTTGGAATTTGCTGATTATTTTTAAAGTATTTTTAATTGTAGGTAGACCCAATACCTTATTTATTTATTTATTTATTTTTATGCGGTGCTGAGGATCAAACCCAGTGCCTCATATGTGTGAGGCAAGTACTCCATCACTGAGCCACAATTCCAACCCTCATTGATTTTTTTTTTAAGAATTTCTTTTTTAGTTGTAGATGGACACAATACATTTATTTTGTTTATTTTTTTTTTAACAGGATGCTGAGGATCAAACCCAGTGCCTCTTACGTGCTGGGCGAGCACTCTATAAACATTTTTTGAATACTTTATCTGATATTTCGTCCACTCAAATATCTGTGGAGTTAGTTGCTGGTAAAGTATGAACTCTAGGAAGTGTCATATTACTTTGTTTTTTCATATTTCTGGTATTCTTGTGTTGAGTTTTATGCACTTGTTAGGATGGATTTCTTTTCCATTTTTACTTATGGGCTGTTTTAGGGCAAACGCTTCTCTTGCCATAGTATCCTAAAATGATCTAGACTGAGACACACACCCCCCATAGGTGTGGTATCCACAGCTTTTGTGTTAATTCTCTTTGTTTTTGCTGTAGAGTGGATGTCCATATGTGAGGTCTGAGCCCCCCCCCCAACAAACACACAGCTGTTCCTACTTGGAGCTCAATAATTAGTTTGGGGATTTTATTTCTTTCATCTTATTAAGTATTGCTGAAGTTTGAGTATGGTTAATTTGTATGTGGATCAAGTAGCTGTCTCTTGGAGAAGTTAAGTCCAGCAGCAGAGTTTCTGCCATATGAACTTGTTCTTTTCCTATAGATTCCCAGCATCTCACTGAGAATCAGTATTCCCACTGTTTGAATTCTGAGCCATAAAGCAACTGGAAATGCATCCTTCCTCTAACCCACCATCATAAATTTCTTTCTAAATATTTCATTTTTTTGGTGTTACTGTAAATGCAATTTTTCTAAGTTTCATTTGAGATTTTTCATTGAAAGCATATAAATATGTAATCAATTTGTGCATATCAATCTCATATCTTGCTAAACTTGTTTATTAGTGCCATTGTTGGGGTGTGTGTGTGTGTGTGTGTGTGTATGTATGTGTGTGTGAATTTCTTAGTATTCCTATGTGTATGTCATGTCATGTCACCTTTCCAACTTAGTTCTCTTCTTTCCAACTTTTCCTGGATAAAACCTCCAATATAATGTTAAGTAGAAGTCAAAGGGTAGACATTTTGTCTTTTTTCTGATCTTGCAGGAAATCATCCAGTCTTTCAGCAACCAGTATCTTTCATAGACACCCTTTATCAGGTTGATGAAGTTCCCTGTACTCTTACTTTGTTGAGTATTTTTATCATGAAATGGTATTAGAGCTTGTCAAATGCTTTTTCTTTGTCTACTGAGATGATCGTGTAGTTTTGCTCTTTGTTCTATTGATATTTTACACAAATTAATTCTTGGATGCTAAACAAAACTTGCATTCCAGAATATAGACCACTTAGTTCTGCTGTTTAATTCTTATTCTATATTGTTGGGTTCTAGCA